GACTGACTCTTGGCCTGGGGACTTATGGCTTGGCTCTCTCTCCTTCCACAGCATGGGGACAAGTCTTTAGAACTGAAGAGAATAACCCTGGGGGTGAATGTGGCCACACCCCTGTGGATATTTGCACTTGTGTGGGAGTTTCTGGAGGCATGAAAATCTATCAGCTTCCTCCCCAAATAAGACTCCAGCTGTGAAATGATAGAGGGGTATGTGTCTCCTCTGCTGATGCTACCTGGCTGGCCTGGCTTCAGTGACAAATTGAGTGCTTTTTGCCAAATGACAGGTGTTTGCCTCAGGGGCAGGCTTTTTTAAAGGGAACAGGAATGGAAGGACAGTGAAGCTGTCTCCTAGTGACAGGGATGGATGGGCTTCCTTCCTTGCTAGAAAAGCTGACCAGACAGAGGGTCAACAGGTGGGACACTGGGTATTTTCATCTTTATTCTTATTTCCAGGGACTCCTGACACCATGCCACCATCCACACCATGCCACAGCCTCTATCAAGGACCACCCTCTCTCATCAAGTGGCTGATATGTTTTTGTCTCCATATTTTTACTATTATGCACTAACGTGAATAGATGGTGCCCTTCCATAGTAGACTTCCATAGTGTTGGAAAAATTAATTTAAATCATTGGCAGTTTGTGTCAACAAAAGCCTTTCAAATTGCTCTTTGTTTCCCTTGGTGGAAGAAGACACACAGGGACAGGGGACAGTGGTGCTTTGTGCCTTCTGTCCCCTTGCTCTGCACTCACGGAAAGACAGGTCCTGGCGTCATGGACAGCCTGGAAAATGCTCCCAGGCTGTGCCTGGCTCAGCGGCAATTCCTGCGCCCAGTGCGCTCTGTGCTGCCACCTGGTGATGGTCTCTGGCACAGAGTGACAGCGTAAAACCCCATTTGAGCTCCGCCCTCTGTGGCTGGGGCTGTGGTTTGGCTGGCATCCTGATGGACCTCACTGCCGGGCATGTCGATCTCTTTCCTTTTATTCCTCCCTGTGCCCCTTTTACTCTTTACTGAGGGTGTCCCTGAGGCTGCACATGGTCCCAATGTATGTGGCCAGCATCGGAGGCCACAGGTCCCTCCCTGGAAGGGAGTGCAGATGGACACCTTTGCAAGCAAGCTGATCCTGTGGGCAGACCTTAGAGAGTCACAGACAGGGCAAGGGGAAGCTGAGAGGCGCAGGGAGGCCTGCCGTCCTGCTGGCTGGCTGGGCTGGGCTCTCAGTGCTCTTTTTCTTGAGTGCGCTTTTGCCATCACTTCTGTTTGCCTAGTTAGAACTGGGAAGCTTCCAAGGCCAGTAAGAATAGTGGGCCACTGGTAGAGAAAGCTGGTCTGACTTTCATGTGTGATGGGCACTCTCTGCTGCTGAACCCAGGTGGAAGCCACTTTCCTGTTACCAGAACAGAGCAGGTGTCTACAGACTGCTGGTGGCGAGTTTGGAGTCACAGTGATGGCAGAGACTGCTGGAGGATGAGGTGGCTGGGGGTGACAGGTCCCTGAAGGCACTGCCTGCTTGTTGCACTGCCCACCAGAGCCCCTGGCTCAGGATAAGTGTGTTCATCCCTTGGCATAATGAGGAGGGACAATATGCACAGTCTTGATTAACCTGTGTTTGTATTTGCTGTAAAGCTACGGCATTCAGTTAAGGAGATGGGGGAATCAGCCACTCACAGAGATTCTCCAGAGCTTTTATTTTTGTTTATTGTTCTTTGAGGGCCTGAGATTCGGAGCAGATCTTCAATTACCTGTCAGTCAGACACCAGGGGAGTGATCAGGTGTAGCAGTTATGCACCAGCATGACCCCTGATAGACTATATGACAACTCCAAGTGTAATCAGAAGGGAGAAAACTCCACTAAACCCATAGCCAAGGGCTGTGTGTGTGTGTGTCTGTGTGTGTGTGTGTGTGCATGTGTGTATGTGTGTGTGTGCCCAAAAGAAATTGCAAATGTGAGTTTATAACCATTTGGTTGGAACAGCTTCTGTGTTGGCCTGTAATCCCAAGCCATCTATTACGAATCTTGGGATCTTGTTTTGGGTTCTCACTCGCTCCCACATTTCTGATTTAGCAACCACCTCCTGTACTTCAGGGACTCTGTGCCTTCCTATTTATCACTTCCCAACTGGGTCTTCACATCCCTCTGACTGCCCGGGAGCTCTGACCTCCCAGGGTCCCAGCACCATCCCTTCAGGAAGGAAAGGGTGCGTTTACAGTGGCCCCGTGCAGGTTGGTGATTGTGTAAAGCCACAGAACTTTGTACCATCATCCTGGGCTGGGAAATGGGCATAGGAATGTGGCTGGCCAAGGGACATGTGGTGAAGAGCAGTCAAGGTTAATAATGGCAAGCAGCACACATTCCCAGTGGTTATGGGTGATGACTTGGTGAGAGTAAGGTAGATGATATTTTTTAATTTTTAATTTTAATATATTGCCTTAATTTGAATTGTTTCTGTACTGTATTATGTTTGGAATGTAAGGGAAGCTGTAAAACTAACTGTATGGGCGTGACTTGGAGTTAGCCTGGAAACCACCGTCATGCTGGAGATGGGGGAGAGAGGAGGGAGCCATGGAGGTGGAAGCCAGGTGCATCTGCTGCTCTGCTAGCAGAGGCACAGCAGGCAGCTCCCTCCCCCATCACAGCTCCTGGGGACAAGGACATTTCCCCTACCACAGTGGCTCTGGGCCCTGGCGCACAGGGGAAATCCCTGGTCCTGAGACACACTGGTAAAGCCTCACTCCCAGGGTGGAGCAGCCCCAGCCTCTGTGAGGACGGATGGGAGTGTTCTAAGCCGGAGTGAGACTTCGGGCTCCCAGCTCACAGATTCCAGAGTACACAGGTCAGCCCATAAGGGTGGCAACCACGGAACAGACAGCAGAAAGACAAGAGGAAGGGGAAATGGGATTACACAGGCCACCCCACCCACTCATCCTTAATCCAATCCACAGTCAGAGATTGAAACAACATCAGCAGCCAACAGCCCTGCTGGGGTCCATGCGGGTGGGGTCCGGGTGGCAGCACTGACTATGCTCCCTGGGTGCCTGGGCAGGTCCTGTGATGCTGTGGCTCTCAGGGGGCCTTGCAAAGCCTTGCAGGTACAGAAGAGAGAAGTCTGAGGCAGAGACAGTAATGGAAACTCAGCCCTCTCCATGCACCTAAGAGTCACAGTGGGAGCTGGGACCTGTGAGCTGGGGGTGGAGAGGTCCTGGGATCTGGGAGGTCAGGATCATGGCCTGTAATGGCATCAGGGCTAACATAGCATCAGACCATGGGATGGTGTTAGGGGGGAACACAGAGGGTGATGAGTGTTATCTTACAGCAGCCTCGGGCTGGGCTTTATAGAGGGTTGGGCTTAGGGTTGAGCCTCCAAGATACACACACACACACACACACACACACACACACACACAGATGCTTCACTCACATGCACATGCATACGCACACAACCCATTCACATGCAAACACACTCATCCAATTTACCCTGTTCACGTGCATACATCTCCATGGTTCTACACCACAGGTGGTGAGATATTCCTTGTTCACGACATTTAAGTGTGCAGAATCTTCTCAGGGTCACTGTCAGAACCAAGGTAGGATCTCCATGTCAAAGAAGGGTCTAGGGCAGTGATGGCAAACTTTTTAGAGATGGGCGCCCAAACTGCAACCCCAAACCCACTTGTTTACTGCAAAGTGCTGACACTGTAATTAAACCTGAGTATTGAGGTTTTAATTTAGAAAGAACAACTCTACAGTAACATCTTTTCTCTTAAAAGACGAACAATGCACATGCCACAGGTGCACCCACCATCAGTGGTCTAGGCCATCCTAAGGTGGCAGGGCTGATCAAGTGCCCCCTCCCCTGTCCCCACAACAGCTGAGGATGGCAGCAGCACCGCCTCACCATGCTGAGGTGTGGCTGTGTGTGCATTTCGGGTCCCAATCTGAATTCCGCCTCTGCCACTGTGCAGCTGTATCTGATTGGATGGGTCAGCTGCCTGCTCTGAGCAGAGGTTTTCTGATTTGTGAAATGGGGATGATGGTAGTATTTACCTGCCGGGGTGGTGGCACATGTCTGTTATCTGAGCACTTGGAAGGCAGAGGAAGAAGGGAGGATTGCCAGAAGTTCAAGGCCAGCCTGAACTACATAGTGAGACCTTGGCCAGCCTGAACTACATAGTGAGACCTTGCCTCCAAAAACAAAACAAAAAGAGTGATAGTGTTTACCTCATGGAATCTGAGTAAGAATAGAAGCCATAGGTCCTGGCACACAGTAAGCCCTCAGCTAGCACCATCTTGGTGACATTCTGTGTCAGTTTTTGGATCATATGCATCAGGTATGCACATGACATTTGGATCTCATTTCTCTAGGACCCTTAACAGCTGACCCTGAGGAACAAAACCAAAGACACAAGTGCCCACTGCACTCTCATTAGCATAAGTGCTAATGCAAAGCAGCTGTCCCAGGGCTATGAAACACTGGCGACAGTGTCTCTACTTGGCACATGGAATATTACTTTTTCTTCTCATAGAGCCGGTTCAATATTCAACTTTAAACTGCTGCATTTTAATGCACTCACTGTTAAGGACGGCTGGCTTTTGTGGCTGGCTGTGAGAAAAGATTTTTGTTTTCATGATGCAGTCCTGGCCAGGTGACCCAATGGGCAAAATATAATTTACACAAATCCTATCTTTCTGGAGTGTGCACTAAAAAGACACTACAGAACAGCTGGAGAAAGTGTGTCCCTTGGCATTGGGTTATCTGAACAGAGTTGGCATTTAAAGAAGGGGCATTTTATCTGCTTTCATCTCTAAAGGTCCCCTGCTCTTCCAGAGTCCTGTGGTCCTGGGGAGATATTTCTGTTCTAAGGAGGGGGAGCTTCTATTTGCAAATACCATGTTTCCCAGTCAAGACGAAGGCAAGATAGGAAGTAGAGGACTCGGCGTGGCTCAGGGTTCTGGAGATTCTGACGTGGATTTCCCATGTCTCCTGTCTCTTTTGCCTAGAACAAGGAAGTGACGTGCCGGCGGGAGAAGTGCCCAGTGCTGCCTCGGGACTGTGCCCTGGCCGTCAAGCAGAGAGGCGCCTGCTGTGAGCGCTGCAAAGGTGGGTCCCATCTTGGCTGTGGCCTTGGCCATGGCCTCCCGCTGTGCTCACCTTTCTTTGCACTCTGCTCCTGGCTGGAGAGTCCCCGCCTGTGTGTATGTGTGTGTGGGCACACATGTTTATGTTGGGGGGCCAGTGGGAAGGGAGGAAGGAGGGTGAGCATCTTTGTGTTTGGTTTTATTTTGGGAGGCTGAGTCATTAAGTGTCCCAGAGCATATCTGGACACAGATCTCATGCACAGTTGTACACACTCACAATGCACAGGAGTGTTTTTATCAACACACTTTAACAGTTGGGTTTTCTGGACTCTACACTCACCCTACCATCCTCTGCCAAGGGAATCTTTAAATCCAAATGTTACCATTTTTGTTTCCATTATGTATTTCTTTCCTTTCCAAATTAAATCTAAACTTATCTGCTTGTCTTGGGAGCAACTCTGGAACATCCTTTCCCTAACCTGGCTGCTTTGTCCAACCCTCGAGGGTCATGTCTTGTCTGATTTTCTTTTACCCAAGGGAATCACCATGTAAGTGGTATTTCTCAAAACTGGCGATAGAATCAGCTGTGAAATGCAGGTTCCTGGGTGTTTCCCATTGATGTAGTTACCAAGACAGTTATCCTTTTAATAAAAATGGTAGTCGTTGTGATCAGCATTGCCAAGGGATGCCAAGGGTCCAGTCTCTTCATGTTCACACTCTAGTATGGGAGGGACTATTAAAGAGCTCTGTTTAATGCACTGAGAAGGGTAGTGACTTGCCTAGGGTCACAGAGCCTGGAAGTGACAGAGATGGGGATAGACCTAGGTGCTTTGGTTCCCTGACTCTGCATTTTCAAATTTCCTGAGACTCCCATGCAGGTGGATGCTAGAGATACTCTGTTCTGAGAAAAACAGAAGAGAGGAAGAGCAAGGCCAGCTTGCCTGATGAGGAATGAGAACCCCATCCTTTCGAGGATGGTAGGAGAAATCTGGCCCGATCAGTGTCTTTTGGGGGTGAGGACTCTCTTCCGTCTTTGTTGCTGGGAGGCTGTGGCTTTTCTCTGACTCATCATTAGTTACTGACATATGAAATAAAGCCCAGAAGCCTTATTTAGACCAAGAAAACCTATCCCCAATGCTGACAGGAGCTTATCAAGTCGTTCTCAATCCTGAAGCTAAGTGGGGCTGGAGACCTTGATCACAAGAGTTGGCCATCCCCTCCCATCATTCATTGGGGCTTTCTTTGCTTTGTCTTTTCTGAGTCATTTAATAGCTTCCTGCTGGTGGATGTTTGGACCTTAGTCTTTTGCCAGACCCCAGGGAGCCAGCCTGCTTTTCCTCTGTGCTCACAGAGTCGCAGCATGATGGGAGGGATGTGCACCACTGGTTAAAGCGTGGCCAACATCAGTGAATACGTTCCCGAAAAATAAGGCTGCTTCCCTATCCTCCCTTGAGAGCTTTCAGGCTTTTTCCTGAAGGTGAGAGAGTGGAGGAGGGCAGGTGGTGAGACCTGTGGCAAAGTGCACACACAGGATGGGTTAGCCCTAAAATCCAGCCACCACGCAGCCTGAGGTCCCAGTCCAGCGAGCAATGACCTCAATGCAGACTGAGTCACACTCAGATCTGTGCTGTCTGCTTCTGTTCCCCCTGTGTTAGGAAAACATTTTTCTCTTTTTCCTGGGTGAGGGGTGCTATCAAGCTCCCCTTGCTGAGGGTGGTCCGTGTTTTCGTTTTCTGATGAGTTGAGAAAGCGCTGATGGCTGTCCATGAGTTAGGATGTGATTGATTCTGCACAGGGCTGGGCCCTGTACTGCAAAGATTTGGCCACAGGCTTAGCTAAGCTTAGAACAGGGGCTGGGTGAGGAAAGGGGGATGCTTTGCCCGCTGCTCTTTCTCAGAAGGATTCTTCATGGTAATACCGTTATCGTCAGCCTCGTCACCAGTGCACCCTGTCCCATGCCTTCAGGGGCCTCAGAGATGAATCCTCCTTCCTGTTTCCAGGCCCCACCCAGGAAAGCATCGGGATGGAAGGCGCATTACCACCCATTCCCCACAGTTGTCTTTCACACAGCGGCATTTGAAGCTCCCTGTAGGATTCTGCATTCACGTTTCTGTTTTATTCTGTGTGCTGCCCCCGCTGAGGGCACTTCTGTGAGTAAGGAGCAGGGTTAACTCGAGTGCCCTGTGCTGCTTGTCAGTCCCTGTGACTCCGCCCACTGGATGGGCCTTTCAGTCCTCTTGTCCTGAGGCCAGGCTGCTGGTCAGGTGGGTAAAGCTCCTCAGTGAAGACGCTGCTCCCACAGGAAACCTGCTTCTCCAGCTGTTGGGTCACCTGCTGGTGTGAGGAGAAGTGTCACCTGCTTGGATCTCCCAGGACCTCTGCCTCGGGGCTCACGAAAGCCAGGCCCATCTGACATCCTGTGTGGTGTGGTGAAGCCTGAAGGCAGGAAGGTGTGACCTGGTGTATTTTAAGGCCTTTGATCTATCTGTTATCTGTATGTGTGTGTGCAGGTGTGCAGGTGTGTGTGTGTGGTACTGATCATTGAACCAGGGCTTCACATGTGCTAGGTAACTGTTTACTACTGAGCCACACTTCTAGCTTTTTTTTTTTTTTTTTTAAGTTTTGAGACTAAGACTTTCTGAATTGTTAAGTTGTCCAACCTGGGTCTTAACTCATGATCCTCCTGCCTCAGCCTCCCAAGTAGCTGGGATTATAGTTGATGTGCATCACCCCACCCAGCTCTACCTGCTATCTTTATAGAATGGTAAAAGACACTTGTTTTTTTCCCACTGATGGCTAGTGGATTAGTTGCTTTATCATTTAGTCCTCACAGCTGAGGTAATTTCTTTCTTATTTTACATATGAGGACCCTGAAGGCCTAGAGAAATTAAATTTTTGAGTTACCAAGGTGTCATTTTCCTGAAGTCAAACATCAGAGGTCCTTGTCCTTGAAGGGCTTGCTCTAGTAGGAGATAGAGAGATGCTATCTGGGTGACATCCAGGGAGGAAATTGAGGAGGACAACTGCTGGCCAGGGATAGAGGATCGGCCTGGGATGGCTTTTGGAAGCTGTGCCACATCTCTATGAGTGAGTGGGTACTGTCCCATCTGCAGAGGCTCCAGGGAAGACAAGATACCCAGAGGTTCTGCGATGTCACCAACCACCAGGGTACCTCGGGAACTTGTCAGAGTGCCTCTTGCTAGGGTTCTTCCACAGCTGCTGAATTCAAACAACTTGTGATAAGTGTTTGTTGTTTGCTTGGGGACAGGTAAGGGGAATGACATTAAAGTAACACAATTCTATCCTAACTTCTACTAACTTTTCCCTGGAAAGACACTGATATTGAAGAGGAGTGGAGAATAGATCAGCTGGAGGAAAGAAATGTGACAGCTCCTATTTCCAGAAGTGCTCTTAGGAAGGTTGTGGGTGTGTTCAAGTTTGCTTTAATTAGATTTTCGTATGCTCCATTTCTTCATTAATTCAACAGTATTTACCAATCCACGTGCCAGGTACTCACAGGAGGGTGGGGCCAGCCAAATTGTCCTTAACTCTGATGGAGTCAGAATATTCTGTAAGACAAAAAAGTAAATAAAGGATAACTAATTCCTCTCCAGCAAGTATTTCAGTGTACTTTTGAGTTTGTTTTTATGCTAGTAACAGTTATATCTTTATCCAAATAGCTTAATAACTAGGCAAAAGATTAATCTAATTTGAAAAAAACCTCAATATTGTTTGGTGAAAACAAATGAGATCATTGGGAGGCAAACGGCTGCTTTGGCAGCTTGGCTGCATTTAGTTGGACTGAAAATCACCCTTTAATTTGGGGTTCTTTCATGAACAATAGTGTGTTTGTTATCTGAATGTATGTTTGTTACTGGTGGGTCATAAATGTGTAAGGTGTATTCAAATTTTATAGGTCAAATTCCATCCTCTTTCTTCATACAGAGCATGAACTATTAATTATGTACAACAGTTTGATGAAAGAAGGAAATACTTTTATTTCTCAAATGAAGTTTATTTTCCATAAGCTTCCTATCTCTTCTACCTCTCTGTTCTGGGCTTATTGTTCTATGAGTTGTGGTCCTCTGGGCTGCATTTCCTGAAGCTTTAACTGTTACATTTGCTAGAGTAAATAAAAATACTGGATATCTTATGCAAGGAAAAGAAAGAAGGTCAGTCTTTCACATGGATTTCCAGACTCTGGCCAGTCATCTTGGGCTCTGGTGAGAACTAAACAGCCCCAACATGGGAGTGGAAGGGAACTGGGCTCGTTTCTGCAGAACAGTTACTGCCCAAAGTGAGAGCCCATGAGAGCAATGGCAGGAGGGGAGCAGGGTGATTCTCAGCTGGAGTTTCTGTAGTCCCAGGTCAGGATTGGGGGGTTTCTCACAGTGCTGCTTTGAGAATGAGCCAGGGGATATCACCCTCTCAGAATATTGCTCTTAACTATTTTGGAGGGAGCCAGCCACTCACTGTACATAGGAACAGGGATTAAAACATCTTACACAGGAATAATCGCACTTTGTGTTGACAGTAAATTGCCCTATTGCTTAAACCTTTTAACATGGGCAGGCTGATTTAGCTGTGTGCCATGCTTTTTGTTTGCTTTTAACCAACTTCTTTTGTTGTCAGTCATGCCTTGTCTGTTGTCCAAAGAAAAGAGTGGGTTTTTCCTGGCCTCTGTTTTCTCCCATTAGACCTCACCAAACTCCCTGGCAGTTGTTATGTCTGATCAGCTCACACTAAGTCTGCCCCAGATCCTATCTCCCAGCTAAGGAAGATCTTCCTCTCAGGGCAGAGGTCTGTCCGGTTTCTACACTGAACAGACACTGTGCACCCTCAGAAGCTGGTGGTGGTGTTCTGAGTTAGCAAACAGAGAAACATGCGTTTAGAGAAATCTGAGGGTCACAGCGAGGCAGAGGGCAGTCCAGACTCAGATGTCACTTTCTTCTGTTCTGGATCCCACTGCCTGTGGGATAAGAAGGGAGGAGAAGACCCCAGCATCTGAGGGAGAGGGTGAGG